GATCCCCAGTAGAGGGCATGCAGGAGGCAGCCAATCAATGATTCTCTCTCACCATTGATGTTTCTATTCTCCCTTCCTCTCTAAAATCAATAAAAATATATTTTAAAATAAATAAATAGATCCAATTACAACAGAAGAACCCACATAATCCACACAATGGACACCTAGAGCACCCAGCTGAGGAGATCTGACACTGCACCACTGGGACACCTACTACATAAGGCCACCCCATGAAAACTAATAGTTATAGGGATGCTCAAGGAACTTGGTGAGAATTATAAGGAACTTAATGGGAACTTAAACAACAATAGAAACCATGACCAAGAAACAGTCAGAAATGAAGAACACCATATATGATGTTTTTAGAAGGAATTAAAAGTAAATAGAATAAAGCAAAGTATCAAATCAGTGATTTGAAGACGAAGTTAGATAAAAACACCCAATTAGAGTGCAAAAAGGTAAAAGAATTAAAAAGGAGGAAGGTACTTTAAAGGAACTTTGGGACAACATGAAGCATAACAACTTCCACATCATAGGAGACCCAGAATGAGAAGAATGTGAGCAAGGAACAGAGAACCTGTTTAAAGAAACAATGAGAGAAAACTTACCTAACCTGGTGAAGGGGAAAATTACACAAGTTCGGGAAGTACAGGGAGTCCCAATAAAGATTAGACCAAAGAGACCCAAGACACAGAATTAAAATGAAAAACATTAAATACAGAGAAAAGATCTTAAAGGCAGCAAGAGTGACTCAGAAAGTTGCCTACAAGGGAGTTCCTACATTAGACCATCACCTTATTTATCAATAGAAACACTTCAGGCCTAAGGGAATTGGAATGAAGTATTCAAAGTAATGCAAGCAAGGTCCTGAATCCACGACTATTCTCTCCAGCAAGGCTACCATTCAAAATTAAAAGCGAAATAAAGACCTCCCCGACAGAAAAAGACTAAAGGAGTAAGTACACTGTCACCAAAAAAGCATTACAAGAAATGTTACAGGGACTGCTATAAGAAGAAGAAATTCAGAGAGAGGAACATAGGCATAAAGAAAAAAAATGATAATAAATAAGTACCTATCAATATAACCTTAAATGTAAATGGATTAAATGCTCCAATGAAAAGACAAAGGGTAGCTGAATGAATAAGAAAACATGATCCATATATATATATACTGTCTACAAGAGACCCACCTCAGAACAAAAGACTCACACAGACTGAGTGAAGGGATGGAGAAAAATATTCCATGCAAATGAAAAGGAAAAAAACACTGGGGTAGCAATATTCATATTTGATCAAATAGACTTCAAAACAAAGCCCTTAGCCTGAGAGGTGTGGCGCAGTTGGCTAAGCATCATCCCATGCAACAGGACATTGTCAGTTCAATTCCCAGTCAAGGGCACATGCCGCAGTTGCAGGCTTGATCCCCTGAGGATGTGTGTAGGAGGCAGCTGACTGATGTTTTGCTCTAACATGGATGTTTCTCTAACTCTCTCCCTCTATCTCCCTTGCTCTTTTTCTAAATATCAATAAATTACTCTTTTAAAAAAATATATACATATTTTATATACACATAAAAATATATATATGTATATATATCTATATATAGGTATATATAGATATATAGGTATATATATTATTTCAGAAAAGAAAGGAGAGGGAGAAAGAGATAGAAAGATTAATGATGAGAAAGAATCAGTGATCAGCTGTCTCCTGCACGTCCCCCATTGGGGATCGAGCCTGAAACCTGGGCATGCGCTCTGACTGGCAATTGAACCGTGACCTCATGGTTCATACATCAACACTCAACCATTGAGTCATGCCAGCTGTGCAATAAACAAAGGCCATATCAAAAGACAAAGAAGGTCGCTACATAATTATAAAGGGATCCATCCAACAAGAAAATATAACCCTTATAAACATATGCACCCAATATAAGAGCACCAAAATATATTTTAAAAAACTCTTTGTGGATTTTAATGGAGAGAGCGACAACAATATAGTCACAGTAGGGGACTTTAACACTATACCCACATCACTGGATACATCTTCCAGACAAAAAAATCAACAAGGAAATAATATCCTACTAGGTTGGTATATTCAAACCCAAACTACAGACTGCTTGCTGCATATTGGCTGCTGTTTTCAAAGTCACGGGTCTTTAAAAGTTTCAAATATTTATAAACTAGAGACCCGGTGCGCAAAATTCGTGCATGGGCAGGGTGTGTGTCCCTCAGCCCGGCCTGTACCCTCTCCAATCTGGGACCCCTTGGGGATGTCCAACTGCCAGTAATCGGGCCTAAACCGGCAGTCGGGCATCCCTCTCACAAACTGGGACTGCTGGCTTGTAACTGCTTGCCTGCCTGCCTAATTGCCCCTAACCTCTCTGCCTGCCAACCTGATCACCCCCTAACCGCTCCCCTGCTGGCCTAATCACCCACAACTGCCCACCCCTGCTGGCCTGATTGCCCACAACTGCCCTCCCCTGCTGGCCTGATTGCCCACAACTGCCCTTCCCTGCTGGCCATCTTGTGGTGAACATCTTGTGGCAACCATCTTGTGACGACGTCGCACAACGCCACCTAGGCTTTTATTATATAGGATTTGCTCTTTTAGTGCATCTTGGGGATTCAAGAATAAGACATAATTGGGGTAAAAATACCAGAGAAATACATCTTTAAAGCTGTAAGTTCTCCATTGTAGGTTAACAATAGAATTAAAAGAAGTCTTCCTTCCTTCTTTCCTTCCTTCCATTCTTCCTTCCTTCCTTCCTTTGTTAATCCTCATCTGAGGATATTTTTCCACTGATTTTTAGGGAGAGTGGAAGAGAGAGGGAAAGACAGAGAGAAACATTAATGTGAAAGAAACACATCAACTGGTTGCCTCCTGCACAAGCCCTGCCTGACCAAGGCCTGGGCCGGGGAGAAGCCTGCAACCAAGATACGTGCCCATGACCAGAATTAAACCTGGGATCCTTTGGTCCACAGGCCAATGCTCTATCCACTGAGCCAAACCAGCTAGGGCATGAAGTAGATTTCTTAAACAAATGAGGTACAATTACCTAAAAGATAATTTTTAAAAAAAAGTAAAAGTATACTGCATAACTTGGACAAAAAGCAGCTGATCTAAGGTCAGAATGGTCACCCACCTGTGGATTCTTCAATTTAGTAATAACTTTCCAAGCTTCATTGAGAATCTGAAGTCGATCACCCTCAGGAGGATCAGCCAAGGCCAAGTTTAACCCCAGTGAGCGAAAAAGAAGATGCTAAGAAAAACACACAATCATTATGTTACTGGAGATTTTAAATCAGAACAATTTCAGGCTGTCACACTGAGCTTATCATATATCCCATGACCCTTTCTGAATCCTACTACAAACGTCACAAGGTAGATGGAGAAGGGCAAGTAAGGAGCCAGGCTTGTACAGTCTAACTGTGGGCCTGATGTCCTGCGGGATGAGGCTTTTCATAAATAATGAGTAAAGATATATTTTTAGAGACATAAGACCAAAGTATTTTCTAAAAGCTTCACAGTGAGCTAATCCCACAGATTTAGGACTCTCAGGGAGACCGGATGCTCAGCAATTAGACATCTAACAATCCTAATCTCCACTCATGGTCCAGCATGTTCTTCAGACAGAGCCTCCCTTCATTTCCTGATGGCCAAGCTGCCCTGACCCCAGACTTTCCCCTCAGAGGTACTGGGGCAACCCTGCTGCCCGTCCTCCATCTGAGCAGAAGCCAGGCTGTACCTTGGGGAAGCCGGCCTCACTGCACTCCTTGATCATGCCGATGAAATCGAGGGATCTGGTGGCGATGAACTCGGCCCGGAAAGCAGACATCACAGAATTCAACAGCAAGGCACTGCAAGACATGCATGCCCAATCACAGAGCCCCCGGAAGAAAGCCACTTTAATTTTAGGGCATATGTTGCAGGAAGGATGACTGGCATCCCTTTCTTTAAGGTTTGAAGACAACCACATTAGAGTTAGAAGGCAACCTCCAGCAAGCATGTCAAACTCGTGGCCAGTGGGCCACATGCCTCGAGTTTGACATGCTTATGAGACTACCACAGTGTCTGTGCATGCTGGGAATTTGATCGACATTAAACTGACTAGATGGATGGATGGGTGGGTGGGTGAGTAGGTGGCTGGAAGGACAGGTAAATAAGCAAGCAATCAAATCCACTGAAACAGAAGTACACTGAGGCTTCAATAGACTGGTGCACTAATAAAACAAAACATTAAGTAACAATATTGATCCATGTTGTAAATATATATCCATTCACATCTCTTATAAAAATCCCTGTCTGGGACCTAGGGACACAGTGATTTAGAGACATCTACCACCAAAAGGAGGGACAGGAATATGAGTTCATCCTGAGCCTACCAATTATCACAGCCCCGGGAGGAAAGGACTATTATTAAACCCATTTTACAGATAAGGAGACACTGTCGCAGAGAGGTCAAGTAAGTAACCCAAGCTCACAAAGCTAGAAGAGAGTGGAGTCCGTCATCTGAAGCCTAACCTCCACACTGTCGTACCCCTCTTGTGGCTCTCTTGCCCACATAAGCATGCCAAGCTCAAAAAAAGCAACCAACTCCATTTCCAACTCATGCCTTATGAATTTTAAAATACTTACTTATTTCCTAGTTTCTTGCATCGCTCCATCATCTCGGTTAGCAGATTCTAAAAAAAAAAATTTTAAAACAATAAAAATTATCATGTAGGAGAACCTAAAGCAACACTTCTCACAAGAGATTTCCAAAGTAGTACTCTACGTGAGCCTCCTGTCCATTCCCCAGTGCTCCCTGCCCAGCAGGGATGAGGAGCGGGAGAGAAAGTACGCCCTGTGGCATTTCCCGTGGGTGCAAATACTGTCTTTCCAATTACCAACAGTTAGACCTTGGGTCAGTCGGCTGACTTCATTAGGCCTAGGCTTCCTCAGGCAGACAATACAGGTGCTACTGCAGGAGGTGAGGGAGGTATTGGGGGGCATACAGGACTATGACTCCCCACTGTCCTCCCCGCTCATGTAGTGCCAGTGGATTCTCAGTAAAACAACAAACACAGCCAGTGCTGGGTGCCCACCTGTCACAGCTAGGGGCATTAGCACCTGTGCTCTCACCACTTGTGACCACTCAGAGGCAAAATCCTATTTTCCCATTTCACAGATGAGAAAGCGAGTGCTGGTCCAGGGGACACAGCTAGTTGCGCAGGCTGGAGGTGACTCAGCCATCTTTCATCAAAGGCCATGCTCTTCACCACATTTCCTCTCCACGAATTTTGAAGCATAATTTTTGCCCCAAATGAAAATTAATGCTTTACTCATTGGTGTACTGTCAATAGCTCTAGAGCAGTGGTTCTCAACCTTGGTTGCACATTAGAATCACCTGGGAATCTTTTTAAAATCCTGATTTCTGGGCCTCATCCTCCGGAAATTGTTTCTTTGTTACTAATGTTTTGGCCCCACCCCATAACAAAGAAACAGAAAACAATTAAATAATTAAAGGTTCCTAGTACTTTTTTAACGTATGGTACTGCGTAAAACATTTTCCTCTATGAAGAGGGACCAAACAAAATTTACATAAGTATCTAGATTCGCTCCTTTTTCCATGGGCGTGAAAAACGAGAACACTCGTGAGCGGTCCTTAACAGATGGCGCGCGAAAGACGAGAAAACTCCTGAGCGGTACGAAATGTGTTAAGACAATTACATATCTTTAAAAGAGCTCCCGTTTTTAAAAAAAATCCTGGAAGAATTATTCGTCAGGTAGTGATTTGGGAAGGTTTTAAAAATCATCACGTTGGAGAACCTAAAGCAACACTTATCGCCAAGAGATTTCCAGACAAGGTCACCCCAAGGACAAGAGCACTACTGACAGGGGCACCCACCATGCACAGGTGCTGGGCTAAGCACCTCACATACCTTTCCCATTTCCTCTTCACAGCAGCCTTGGGAGGCCCATGTGAACTACCCCCACCTTCACAGCCAAGCAAGCCAGAGCTCAGAACGGTCAAGCAACTCTCTAGTTGGTGGTGGAAATGAGACTTGTATTTAAGTCTAGCCCCAAAGTCCAAAAATGAAACAAGTCTTCTTCAGTGCAATTGCCACCCTTTCCATGTGTCCCTCTAGGTTGCCAGAATAATTAAGGTAACAGCTGACTGTGGAGGAACTGTTGATATCACCACCCCTAAAACCCTGATTTTATTCATATTTCTGTCTCTCCCAACAAAAATCAGGCTGGGTCCAATTAGGGAATAAATTATGACACCCCATTTATATGTTGAAGCCCTAGCTCCAAATGTGACGGTGTGTGGAGATCAAGTTTTTAAGGAGGTAACTAATATCAGAAGATATAAAGGTCCTAATCCAATAGAAGAAGAGGAAGGGACCAGGAAGGCACATGAACAGAGAAGACCCTGTGAGGATGCGGTGAGAAGGCAGAGGGCTGTAAGCCAAGGAGAAAAGCCTCACCAGAAACCAACCCTGCTGGGCCCTTGCTACTGGACTTTTAGCCTTCAGAACTGTGAGAAAATACGTTTCTGTTGTTGAAGCCTCCCAGTCTGTACAGCAGCCCGCTGCGTGGTCAAGGGCTGGCTTTGAGCGGAGGTGGAGGCTTTGAGCCGTGATCAGGCCATGGGGCTGGAGCCCTCCTGAGTAGGATTAGTGCCCTTATACACGTGACCCAAGGAAGCTCCTTTGTCCCCTCTGCCAGGTGGGATGCAGGGACAACCAGGATGTGGACCCTCCTCAGACACTTTCAGGCTCTTGACCATGGATTTCCCAGCCTCCAGAACTGAGAAAACGGCATGTGTTGTGTATAGCCCACTCAACCTGTGCTACTTCGTGACTGCAGCCTGAACAGACTAGGCAAACTGATACAGGCCAAACCAATCACGGGGTCTCATTCCCCACCAGTGGTAGGTTCCAAGGAAAGATTTCCTTGGTCTTAAACAGAAAACCAAGAAACCAGAGACTCCCATTTCTCTGCCTCTGGACGCAGCCATTTCTGGACATGATACGGCTACTCTGCTATCTGGAGACAGCAGAGCTGAGAGATGGACAGACCTGGCTGGCCCAAAGCCTGCACCTGCTATTCAAGAGAACGCATGGGTTGTTTTTTTTTTGGAGGGCCAGGTGGGTGTCTGTTCCTTGCAGCAAGAAGCACTTCAGCAGAGGGTAAAATAGGTGATACCACAAATGGCCTCCCTAGCCCACTTGCAGAACATTTACATTTGAAAAGTCATTCTGGAAGCTCAGTATCAAAGTGGTTTTGTGCAAGGCAGAGGAGAGAGTGTGTAATTATCAGTGATATCCCAGCCCACACAGACAACCACTCACTGAGCAACATCAATGGGCCAGCCACTATCCTAGGCACTGGGGATAGGGCAGTGAGGAAGTCAGTCAGACAGAAACCCTTGGTCTGTGTGGCGTATTCTCTCAAACATATGTGCACGTGGCGCGTGCACAGCATATGGATAAAATATCTGGCCATCAAGACAAAACAAATGCTTACAGTGTTCTCTTTTTATAAGACAAGAACAAATTAAAAATGCATCCAAGAATATAACTTTAAAGAAACAAGGGCTCTGTTGTCATAGAGGAATATTCATAAGTGTCCAGGGAGCCAACTGTTATGGAGCTCAGGCAGGTCTGATAGAGGTTAATTTTTTGGTATCTGAAAGTAACAGGATTGATTATCTTTGGCAAGAATAAGACGTACAACAGTTCAAACCAGACAGATCAAAACAAGGTTGTTGGCTGAATAAAACCATTGAAAAACTTGCAAATCAGCACCCTAGTCTGCAGACACACAGCAGAGCCAGAAGACTCATTAGGCCCCTACATTTTCTTTATTTACATGTTTAATTTATAAAAATTATAAAAATAAGAAATGCTTATGGTCAAAAGTTCAAACAGTCCTGCCGTGCAACAGGTACAAAGTGAATGCCTGCCTCCCAATTCCTACTTCCCAAGACTCCCCAGTGTTGACACTGTGGTGTTCACCTTTCTAAACCTTTGTGCCCTGGGAATATGTAGCTTTTGTTGTAAAACCACAAGGTTTGACATTGTTGTTGCTGTTTTACAAATGTGAATTGTCTTACACATATTGGGCTGCAAGTTGCCTTTTTTACTCAAGAATCTAGCATGGGCCTTGCTCCTCTCACATTAGTATACACAAATCTATCTCGTTATATTTAACTAGAGGCCAGGTGCATGCAATTCATGCACACGGGCATGAAATCAGTGCATGGGGGTGGGGGGCAGGTGTGTTCCCTCAGCCCAGCCTGCACCCCATCCAATCTGGGACCCCTCTGGGGACGTCTGAATGCCAGTTTAGGATCGGGCCTAAACCTGAAATCAGACATCCCTCTCACAATCCAGGACCAATGGCTCCTAACCACTTGCCTTCCTGCCTGCCTGCCTGCCTGATTGCCCTTAAACGCTTCTGCCTGCCGGCCTGATCACCCCCTAACTGCTCCCCTGCAGGCCTGATTGCCCCCAACTGCCCTCCCCTGCCGCGACCCGCCTCCTCCGTGTGAGGCAGCCATCTTGTGATGGCCATCTTGTGACGATGTGGGGGCGTGATGCCACCTAGGCTATTATTAGTATAGATGCCTGAGGAAGCCATAACATAAATATAACACTGCTATTCAAGTTGCCCCTAATGGATGGATTTTTTTTAGTTTTTTATTCTGGACCATTTACAGACTCATAAGAAATTGCAAAAATAGCAGAGAGGTCCTGGGTATTCATTATCCAGCTTTCCCCATAGGCTACATCTCCCGTGAATATAGTGTACTATTTAAGCCAGGACACTGACACTGCTGTAATAAGTTAATTAGACTGTTTCACCAAGGTTTGCATGCACTCATTATCTTGGGAGGAAGGCGTTGTCTTTGTGACATTTCATTCACATGGATTTGTAGAATCACCATTATATTGCAGATTTTAAGTATTTTTAAAGATTGTTTGCAGATGAGAGTTATATACCCACTTCAAAAGCAGAGGTAAGAGAAGTAAGTCAGGACAGCACTGCACTTCTACTTTCTACATCAAAACTAACACATAAGCAGTCCAGACTGCTCACAAATGTGTGCTCTGCTTTTACTAAATAAATTTCCAAACCCCATGTTTATAAATACTGCTTCATGTAAAAGAGAATTAACAAATATGCACATTATCTTTTTGTTTTTATTTTTCTAACTGAAGCAGAAATGTAATGGGGGGAAAATCAAGAACTAATCTTAACAGCTAATGCCCATTACCCCAATTCAGAGTTAATATAGCTCAGGTCTCAAAAAAATAAATTACTTCAATGTGAATAAAATGAAATTATATACCCTAGGCATTAAAACGAGAAATTTTTAATTTTTCATGTTATTCTCTTTCTCTGGAGATTTTTTTCCTAATTGGAAAGAATGAAAAGAACACACTTGTGGGACATTCAGTGAGGATGGCTAAGCAGGAAGCTCTATGCCCAGCGCCTCGCACAACCACACAAAATTCCAACTAAATTATATAACAACCATCACTGAGAAGCATCTGAAGACCAGCTGGACAGAACTCCTATGACTAAGGATACACAGAAGAAGCCACAGAGAGATTAGGAGGAAGGGTGGAGCTGTGGGAAGGGCAGAGCCCATAGCCCAGGGAGATGGTTAAGAGTAGGGGTAGCTCAGATA